AAAGGAGGGGGAGGACTAGGGAGGAAACAGGGGAAGCCCAAAGTTACACATTTACTCATCAGTTAAACTATGTGGACACACCTGGGGCGTTTGAACTTTCCACAGAGGTCGTTGGGACATCCTGTGGTTATTCCAGGAGCTGTTTTTTTCTCATGAGAGTTCCGGGAGCGGCCACCTGCAGGGGACGGGAGCCCCCAAGGTGACGAGCCCATGTTGTTATCGACAGCTAGTAATTTTTTACTCTTCAGTAACAGCTTTACAATTCTAGGGAGGGGAGGCAAGGAGCTTATCTTTTAGGAAGTTAGTGTGGGTATCTAGCACAAATAGTTTCCCTCAGCTATCACATTTGGCACTAGTGACAAGTGGTGGGAGGTAGAGCCATGTTAGAGGGAATCCATTATGGAGGAGAAGTGTCTTATCCCCTCCCCTCTCTGTTCTCTCCTCTCCTCTTCTTTTCCTCCTCCTCCTCCTCATCCTCTTTTCTTCTCTCTCACTCTCTTCTTCCACTTTTCTCTCCCTTTCGGGGCCACTATGATGTGAGCGGCTCTGGCCTCGACACCCGCTGTCAGTAAGTTCTGTCTCACCTCGGCCCAGAAACACACAGCCAATCATAGGATTGGAAACTTTGGAAACACAAGCATGGGTAAATATTTGCTTCTTTAAGTAGATTTTCTCAGGTATTTGTCACTACGAAGAGAAGTTCAGAGTCAGAGAAGAGTTGGAAGCTACAATTCTCAGTACTTCAGTGCTAAGGAGATGGGGAGGGGAGGGGAGCAGCACTGTTGGCAGAGGAAATCAGTGTGTGTAAAATCACAAAGTGCTTAGAGGCCTTGGCGTGGTACACACAGTGCTCATGTGAAGAGGAAGTGAGGGTAGAGGTAGGAGCAGAAGCCAGACCACGAAGACCCTCATGGACGTCAGGACATTGAACCCTGTCTTAAAGACAAGAGGGAGCTAAAGGATAACATTTTTCTTATCCTCATTTTATGATGGAGACAACCCTTTTATTGCTGCTAGCTCTGTGCAGGGAACTCACATTGAGTTTCTGCCATGTTTGGGCCAGAAGCATGGTTTTGTGTCCATAGAAAAACACCAGTCTGTAACAATAAATCTTTCTGCCAAGCCGCCCGAGCACCGCTACCACATGGGGGGCCTGAAATAACATACAGACTTATATTAGGTACAATGCTTCTGGCCAATGACTAAGATTTCTTATTTGCTAGCTCTGTCTTAAGTATCACCCATAACTATTAATCTATATATTTTATAAACTTATCTTATTGAGGACCCCGGCTGCAAGCGTCCTGTCTTTCCGGGCTCACATGGCAACTCTTCCTCTACTACATTTCCCAGAATCCTCCTTGACTCCTAGTCCCACCTATCATGCTTTCCTATTGGCCAACAGTGCTTTATATATCAACCAATAAAACACATATACGCAGAAGGACCTCCCCCATCACCAGTCCATGTGTTACAAAGCTCTCCCTCCATTGATTACTGAGAATCTACACTGTGCCTGATACCACTCAGTGATGTTGGTAGTAACTAAACAGAAAGCAGATCAATTAAGATAGCACTATGTAATGATGGATTAGCTTCAAAAATTGTAGTGTCTTAATACAAGAGTCACCAACTGTCACCTACTAGGCACAAACAAAATCTCACCAGCTGCCTATTTTTAGAAATGATATTTTACTGGAGCCCAGTCCTGCCATTCATTCACCTAGTATCTATGGCTGCTTCCACACCTAAAAGATAGTTGCAATACCCAGTTGGGTAGTTGTAACAGAAGCCATGCGACCTTGAAAGTGTAAACATCTCTATCTGGTTCTTTATGGAAAGAGCCCACTGTGTTAGACACATATGTACATTTCAATGCTGACAGTTTGTTGAGGACTGGACTGATAACTGAAGCTTTACCTGAGGCAGAGCCAGCAATGACCTGAGGCCAGGGCCTTAGGAGCTCTTCCCTGAGAACCTGGTGTATGGAGGACTTCTTTGTGCTGTCAGCCAGGACTCTGTGGGCTCCCTGATCCAGGCTCCACATAGAGCACCAGACAAGGATTCAAGTTGTGTGGGGGACCAAAATCTTTCTGGAATATTTTGAGATCCGGCCTTTGGTTTCACTAAACATGGAGCACCTGAAAGCTCCAGTCCACTATTGTATTGTTAATGCCAGTAAGGCTACTACTGTTTACCATGGCCTCAGGGCAATATGCCTCTTATTTGCATGTCTATGCACCTAAGCATCTGAATAGGCCTGCACCTGGGCAGGGAGATGAGAGGTGTGTGAATAACTTGTGAGGAAGGAAGGTTAGGAGGGAAGAGGGGCGAGGGACCAGAGGAGAGGGGCAACAAAGAGAGAAATGGTTGCCTCGTGGTATTAGCAGGATGGTTAAGAAACACCAAAAAAGATGGCTAATAAAGAAATGACTCTAGTTCCACAACATGGAACTGAGAGCTCTCTGAAGATGACAAGATGCCTGTGTTTGGTCTTTATCGCTGTTGGGTTGCTCGGAGCTTCCAGGTCCACACACCCCCACTCAGGTAGAACCTCATGGACTAAGGCTGAGACATGCTGGGTCACGACAAGTTGACCTTCAGACATACTAAGCTCTTGCTGCCATGGACACAACCAGAATAATCCCCAGTTATGAGCCACCCCCTCTCCCCAGAAAAGCCAATCGTAAGCATGCTGGCATGTGCTTTTGGGCCTGCTGTGATTTTTTCATGCATTACATCCTGAGCAGGGCCTCTAGAGTCCTTCTGGGTAATCTCCTCACGTGAAGAACTTACCCACTTTGGTCTTGCAATCACCACTCGGCCCATCATATGAAGAATTATTGCAAGACTGTAGTAGAGATGTGAGGCCTGTGACAGATTGTAAACGCTTTGCATTTGAATGCAGTGGCCCCACCGCCTGCACCCACGAGAAGCGCCTGCAGAACCTTCACTCTGTTTGGAAAATGGACAAGGTAGTTCAGCTGCTCATTTAGCTCATTCCTGATTTAGCCAGATAGGATTGTCAACTGGAGTCCATTAAAACAAGGCCTCTAGGTTAACTGTCACCATTCAGTGTGCATTATTTATAGGGAAAGCATCTGTTTACCCTTCTTTATTTGTAATTACACTATCCAGAGTGGAAGAGAAATGAAAAAATAAGAAAAAGATTCACCTGAAGTTGTTAAATTTGGAGAGCCAATTTCCAAGGAAAGGAAGTTTCCAAAAGTGGCGGACAAGAGGACCGGAACTCTTGTTCTCAGAGAAAACATTATTTTGGGGAGAAGAAGAAATAACAAGAGAACTATGAGTCTCAGGAAAAATCAATAGCAAAAGCAACACCATAACATAATTTCATAAATAT